GTCTCACTCAAAAGAGCTACAGAATCGCAAGTTCTCTTTGCAAGTTTCAAAACCTTAGCCCCAGTCAGGTTTTCTTTCGGGAGGATCATGAAGCAGGGGCTCTCACCTGTCTCATGCTACAGGTTCCAACTCCTCCTGACTCCTCTCTCTCTTGGGCTCTGACCTTTCTTCTCTGCCCTTCGCACTTTTCCTCCTCCTGAACTCCCCTTATAGGGTGTGTTTCTGGACTGTTGATCGACACTTAATCATTTACCAAGAACTTTAATTAACTAAGTAAACCAACTTTATGATTGCTGTGATCACAGACTCTTGACCCCCTACATCTCAGCAAACAGCTCTGAAGCTGGAAATGTTTACTCTTTGTCTAGAGTCTTAGACACCTCCATTGTCTGCTACCACAGTCTGTACCAACATATATGTCGCTGTGTCATGCTGATGGAGTAAAATCAGGCTGCAGAGCTCCTGGATGGCTCCTGCAGTGAAGCCTTTGATCAAAGTGTAGGACACAGTACATTCTGCAGCCTGGAGATCACAGGTTCAGATCTAGACTGTGCCACTAGCACCATGTGGTCAGGTGAACCCAGGACATGCACATGGACAGACTGAAATTCTTCTCCTAACTTAAAACATCTGTTTTCAATTGTTCTTAAACTTTCAGAATAACACCCATAATTTTGCTAAATTTTACATATTTCTTCTGTCTTGTCTAAGAACAAGTTTCTAAGAATATTGCATATTCCAATGGGTCTTTTCTAATCCATTCAATCAACCCACAGATGGCCCTGAGATCACAGGGTGTCCTCTCAGTGTTGATGTGAAGGAACATCACAGTCTGCAGAGCAGTGTTAACTGTACAGCTGAGGGCAGCCCTCCCCCTGAGACCAGATGGGTCAAGGACGGACAGCAGATTGACCCCTCTGTCAAGCTGACCAGGACTGATGAAGGACAGTTCACCTATGAAGCTACTAACACACAGGGAACTGTGAATCACGCTGTGACGGTAGAAGTGAGATGTAAGTTTTCACAGAATATCTAAAAGCTCTTACTGAAGCACTAATCCAGAGACACTGCAGGCTTCACAGCTGCTGAACCGAATATATTCCCTGTTGTGTCAACCAGGAGCACATGTTTCCTCTAAGAACAATGATCTGTTTCTCAGAAGAATATCAGTTATTATGTCCAGGTTAAGCCTCATGTCCTTAACCCACAGATGGCTCAGCTGGAGTTGATGGTCTTTATGGGCTGGTTCCCTGAGCCCTGAGAAGGAGGCAGCAATTTCTTACAGATGAATCAGTCCATCAGACAACTGAAGACAGACGACAGTCCAGAGAAGTGCAGAATTAAGGACAGGCAGAGAGTCGCTTCACTGATTTGAAATGTCTCAAAAAGCTGTGTTCTCAACCCACAGATGGCCCTGAGATCACAGGGTGTCCTCTCAGTGTTGATGTGGAGGAGCATCACAGTCTGGAGAGCAGTGTGAACTGTACAGCTGAGGGCAGCCCTCCCCCCGAGACCGGATGGGTCAAGGGTGGACAGCAGATTGACCCCTCTGTCAAGCTGACCAGGACTGATGAAGGACAGTTCACCTATGAAGCTACTAACACACAGGGAACTGTCAGCCACACTGTGAATGTTACAGTGCTGTGTAAGTACACATATTAAAGCTTTGCTTAACATACACAGTAAATGACAATTTGGACGTGGAAGCAGGAGGATCCTGCTTATTGTGAAGCCACGGTCTCTGAGGTTAATACTCAAGAGCAAACTCTGGCAAATCGCTTCTTGCAAACATCATGGTATTATGTGGTTCATATCTGTGAAATAATAATGACAGTGAAGAGTACTGGCTCCGCTACCGTTAAAGATCTGATCCCATCAGGAAGATAAACAATTCAATGCAGAGGATTAAGCTGAAAACACGTGGTCTTGGAAGAGCCGAGTCATGTACTGTATATAAAATAAAGGAAAATGCTGTCATTTCAGTATTGTTTTGTGTTTCTGCAGACAAGCCCATTATAAGGCCTTGGCAGACAAGTGTTGATGGGGAAAAGGGCTCTACAATCGTCTTCACGTGTGCAGCCGAGGGGAACCCTCCTCCCTGGTACAGATGGGAGTATTACGATGCCGGTAACGTCAAAGAGCTCACGACCAGCACAGCCTCCAATATCACCATCACCGGAGCCACCGCGTTCAACATCGGGGAGTACAGCTGTACGGCCACAAACAAGCTTGGGATGGACACCAAAATCCTGAAAGTGCGAGTTATAGGTAAAGCTCATTTTTATTTTCCTGCAGGGGGTGGCCTGCGTCGAAGTGCCCAGTGAATATTTCCCTAGAGTTCTTTTCACCCCGAACCTGGGACCACGACACCCCATTCCCTTGAAATGTGCATGTTCTGGGTGGGCATCATTATTTGTGTTAGCAGTAAATCACACGTCTGAGAAAGCAGTATCGTTGCTATTATGAGTTACTCATCAGAAGTCCCATTGCGTTCGGTAGAAACTACAGTGGCTATCAAAAGTATTCACTTTGCATTTTTTCACACTTTCCTGTGTTACATTATAGATTTGAGTATTTATATGGGATTTGTTTTGTCAATGATCAACACAAAACACTCTACAATGTCAAATTGAAAACAAAATCCTCCTAAATTCAATTATAAACATAAATCAGAAGATAAGTGACTGCATAAGTATTCACCCTCCTCTTACTATGACAGACTTAAATAGCTCCTTTTCACCTCTGGTGCAAAAACAAATGTCTGTAGAAGTCACACAGTTTGTTGAGGCCTCCTGTGCGGCATTAGGGTGTTTCACATGAGTTCAGGATAGAGATACCATTCCCTGAGAGGTCCCACGTGGATTAGTACAGCTCCCAACAAAAGCTGCGTCATGAAGACAAAGGAGCTGTCAATGTAAACCTGGCATAGGGCATAGAACATTTCCAAGGCTTTACATATCCCCCAAGGCACAGGAAAGTCCATTACAATGGATTGTAGAGAACATGGCACAGCTGTGAAAGAAGCAGGGTGTCCTCCAAAAACTGGTGAGAAGAGCACCGAGAGGCCTGGGACAACCCGAAAGGAATTACAGTCTGCCATGACTTCCATGAGACGGGAGAAACTGGGCATCCGACAATTGCCAGAGTGCCTCACAAATTCGGGCTTCATGGGAGAGCGACACAACACTCACATCAAATCTTGACTTCACTCTGCCTTGTGGCATATGGGGAGACTCTGAGACCAAGCGGAAGAGGATGCTGTGGTCTGACGAGACCCAGATGGACCTTTTTGGCCTCAACAGTAAGTGTTATGTTTGGTGCTAGTGTAACGGTGAACAACATCCTGAGAACACCGTCCCTACTGTGAAGCAGGGGTGTGGCGGTATCATGCTGTAGGGCAGCTTCGCTGCATCCGGGCCTGGAAGACTTGTGGATATAGAAGGAAAAACGGATGCAGCAAAGTACCTAGAATTCCTGGAGGAAAACCGGCTGCAGTCTGCAAGAGACATGGGACTTGGGAGAAGATTCATCTTGCAGTGGGATAGTGATAGGATGAGGACTCCAAACAGACAGCCAAAGCCATTTTGCAAAGAAGAAGGGGGAAAATTGCAGTGTTCAACTGTGCAAAGCTCATAGAAACTTATCCAAGGAGAGTCATGGCTGTAATTTCTGCCAAACGTGTCTTTACAAAATCCTGACACAAAGGTGGTGAATACTAAATATAAACTGTTGTTTCCGTTTGGTATTTATATTTAATTAAGAAGGATCTGTAGATTGTTTTCACCTTGACATGATAGTGTTTTCTGAGAATCAGTGGCAAAAATCCCCAATTAAATACATTATGATTCCTTACTGAAACACAACACCATGTAAAAAAGCCGAAGGGGGTAAATACTTTTGATAGCCACTGTTCGTTTCTATTAAAAACGTCCTGCCATCTCCGTTTTTTTTAAGCTGCTTCTTTATATATACAGTATAAAAAATGTATATACAGTCCATACGCCTGATAATTTTTAAAAGAAAATGTTATTGTACTACGATAAATCCATAACAACACGGGAGCTTCTTTTTACGAGTTTATATAAACCACCCTTTTCCGAAATTAATTAAATAAGATCGAGGTCGGTGTCATTAATGGTAGCATTCAACTGCTACAAACACAACTCTTTTTTCTGGAAAGCAGGACGAGGGTTTTCTACGCTCCTCGTCAGTGTACCTTGCTTTGAAGGTACACTTCTAATGTTTTTCCGTCAAGAAACATTCATTCCTTTTTGTTGGGGGGAATGCACGTGTGACGCTGTCTGCCATGCTTGTTTTTAAATCCTATACAGTAGTGGCCCCGGATTGCGTTTGGTAAACGCGTTTTATTTTTTAAAGGATTGTCGTGTCATTTCCCTTCCTGAGACACATTCGCTCTCGTCAGAGAGATTCTTAGACGACTTGCGCCGTCACACGTCACCCGCGGACAATACAGCGGCACGCTTCGATTTCCCACATCTGTATTTTCTATTGACTTAGTTTTGTCGAATGGTTTATTTGTAAATCGCTGTTATTTTTGGACGCATTTAGAAAATTCGTTTTAAGGGAAAGTTCGGGAAAGTCCAGTTCTGGGGAGTCTTGAGTGATTTAAGGGGGCTTTCCACTACAACAAGCCTGCCCCCTTTTTTTTTTCTTTAAAGAATGACTTCTCCAGCGAGGCAACATACACAGCCCAGTACGGAGAGAGAGGCAGAGCAAATATTATCTTAGGAAAACTAACGGTACTCTCTCGGCTTCGAGGCTTTCCGTAGATTAAACAGCACAGAATTTATTCGCGTTTTTAAAGCGGAGTAAGTGCCGGACGTTACAGAGAACAACAAAATGTTCAGGCTGGATTTAATTAAAGCTTTCTTAGCGGTCCATCTGTTTTTCGTTGGAGTTATGTGCTCAGGTAAGTTGGATTTTTATATTTTATGCATTTGACTGTTCCTTGCCGTTCAGTATTACGGGTGTTACCGTGAATATTTTCTTTCTGTATTGGTTTTAACGTAGGAATGCAATGATTTAAAAAAGCTAAGATTCCAAAGGAAATTCGTGAAAGGAAATGACCTCCCCCCCATCTGAATTTCAGATTTACAGCGAGTATGCGATTCCTGTTGTTAATTTGCCACTGACGTGCACCTTTAAAATATCTACCATGTTTGCGAATGATATTGTACAGCGCTGTTTTTGTGTAACACGGTAAAAAAAATGTCTGGCTTTTCCCCTCCAAAAAGTCAACGTATCGAAAAGAAGAGCAACCAGAAACTCTTCAACATATTGCCGTGAAATGGAGTGGTTTAAGTGAGGTGCAGATATAAGATGCGTTGCACAGAAGTTTGGGAGGGTGTCGAAGAGTATTCTATGGGAGGAGAATGGAGTCGAATAATAAAGAATAAATTTGGGACACAGTCGAAAACGAAAGCGTGGCTCTAGTTCTGCACAGGGCTGTAGACTCTTGCTCTTTGTACTTGAGACTTGTCTGCGATCAAAACTCAGTGATCTTGCCGTTACGCGCGTTGCTTTTTTAAAGGAGTGAAAAATAGTGTGGAATCTGTTTTAACGTGTGACATTAAAAACATTAAAAGCTAACGAAGTACACTTACAGAGCACCGCACCAAACCTGACATTACAGTACATGTCTTTTTTTTTAAAAAAACGAGTGTTTTTGTACACACAATCATTTCTCAGTAACGTTTTGTGTTGGGGGGTATTTTATGTGAATTCCCATTGGGTCACATCACTGTGTAGTCATCTTTCACTTACATAATTTCTAGTGCATGTGTAATGCAGACGGTTTAGGGTTGCTCACACTGGCCTGGGATTTCCAGTAAGTCTTCTGAGTTCAAGCATGATCCGGACCATGTGAATTTACAAGTGAAAAGTCAGGAGTTAACGCTATGAGCTGTCCCGCCACGTGTTATTTATTCCGCCAGTGTTAACACATGACTAATACATAGTGATCTTTGGTTTAAAAAAAGAGTAGGGGAGTTTTTCACTTTCGCTAACCGTTCTGTATCTGTGACTCGTGTGAGATGCTCAAGTGAACAGCAGTACAGGATCTTCTCGGTGTTTGGCGAACGGACAGAAAGTCCCAGGATACCTTCACTTCACTTTTAGGCTTTGAGGAAGAGGCTCTGCAGTGACTTTCCTGTTTTTGCTTAGGCTCGTGGTTACCCACCAAGGAACAAAAATGTTGCAGAAGGAGAAGAGTAGATGCTACATCAAGTATCATTTCCTCCCAATAATAGCTTTTTAGTGCATGAAGAATTGCAGCACGAGAGAAGGGGGGGCTTAAACTCCCAGACGGTTTCTGGAGACAACGGTTTCCGTTTGAAACAACATTAAACTCAGTCGGTTTCTTAAATATGGAATGCAGTAGTGCCTCACCATGGTGTCTTCCTGGGGTTTGCTGAAGGCGGATTCATTCTAGCAAGTAAGAATAGAGATTCCAGGTGCTTCATCTCCGTAGGAGATCAGACAGGTGGTGTCAGTATTGCCCTGTGGAGCTGCAGACGCGCACTGGCGCCCCCCGTCTGGACTCCCTGGAATCTTCCCTCCTACCCGCTGGGGTGAATCGGTGTGCTGTAACACGTCCCATCTTAAACAGGCAGTCTTTAATGAGCATGTAACGGGACGCGGCAATGAGACGGATTCCCACGTGGCTTGACAATATTTCCTCCCCCACGTCCGGCGCCGGCCGGGGGAGAGGCCCGCTCCCTGCGGGATACCTGAGGGCACCTTGCGGACCCCTGTGCTCCGGACTCTTCGGTCCGGCCCGGGGAGCAGAATGGCAGGAAGTGGGCAGAGAGGAGGAGTTGGCTCCCCTGGCGCAGGAAATCGCTGCTTTCCTTCCTGGAGACTGTGTTCCCTCTCCCTCTGCCAGCCGGAGAGGCTAGGAGCGCATTCCTCCTAGCACAGTAAACAGGATGTTTCATCGCGGACTTTCCCGATCCCTGTTCTGGGATGAGGCCCTGCAGGTTTACAGAACAACGTGTGCCGCTGTAGGGGTGTGAAATATCACAGCTTAGTTCATTACAGGAGCAAGTAATAGGTTTATTCCATGCTGAAAAGAGAAGAGAGAAAACGCAATGTTTCGAAACGTTCTCTTCTCTTTTCAATTCAATTCAACTTTATTGTCATTAAACTTACACAGGTGCATAGTATAATGAAAAGTGTTTCTCATTAGTCACTCAGGTGCAGTATATAAATAGGACAGAAGATAAGACAATAGACAGTTACACAATAGCAATAAAAGTAACATGTAATAACATAACATAAATAACATGTAATCAAGTAATCGAAAACTGTGCAAATTCCGCAAACAGAGAAAATGTAACAGGACAAAAACAGTGCAAGGTAATTCTTGGAACAGTGCAAAAAAATAGTGTGGTTAAAAGTAGTATGCTTAATTAATATTAAATATTATTATGCCTGTTACGATTTTACTGGGCTATCGAGGGGACAGTACAATTTTGGCTTACATGTGTGTGTGGTGGTGTAGGAGTACAGTGGTTGTGGGTACAGGAGGATGTTAGGAGAGATCATAATAAGGTGGAAGGGAGTGGGGGCGTCACCAACTTGACAGCTCTGGGGAAGAAGCTTTTCAGCATGGAATAAACCTATTACTTGTTCCTTTGCAGCCCACGCATGCTGACGCAGCTACCCACCCGAACTACTTCAAACAGTTCATTATAGATCTGAAACAGGCATAAAAATAATCATTTGAGAAAAAAAAACCTTTCTAACCGAAGGATGCTGTACATAATATTATATATATTAAACCAGATACAATGTTTAAAAAATGAAATAAAAAAAAGAGTACAAAATGAAAAAGGAGCATACAGGTCAAACTGTTAAGACAGTCGGCCAGGGCTCCCAGGTAAAATGGTGTGTTTTAAGTTCAGATTTCGAAACAGTCAAAAGAATCTGCCGCTCGGAGAGTCTGAGGAAGGCCGTTCCATAGGAATGGAGCAGTGGCAGAAAGAGCACCAGTAGTCTCAGATCTATTCCCAGGGCCAACGAGCTGACCAGCCTCAACAGAGCCGACAGGAGGGAGTGTAAACATGGAGGAGTTCAGAGATGCATGACGGAGCCAGATTACTCACAGCCTTATAAGTTGGTAGCAAGATCTGGTATTCAATACATGACTGTATAAGCAACCACATTTAGAGGCTTGAAGGAGGAGTAAAATACTGCTAGTGTCTACCAACAGCCACCCGGAGAGTGAAGCAGAGACATCGGCTGTGTGCCTGCTCCACTCGGCTGTGAAACACAGGCATTTCCAGGGGCATCTTATAAACCAGGCACAGCCCCGATCAGCTTCCTGTGTCAACAGAAATGTGCATAGAAGACAAGGACCCCACATGCGCTTGAATACAGAGTGCAAAAGGCCATACATGACACAGGGATATTGGTCACACTAAAGGGTGCTGTCTGCTTTCCTGTCATAAACTATGTCTGACTGAATTCTACACTGTTTAAGTGTCAGAATTGTTTGATTTTTTTTGTCCAGCATTTCTTTCTTGGACAGGTCTGTTATTCCCACAGAAAACTAAATCGCTGTAAGTGGAGAACTTTGACCTACTGTTTCAGCTCTGGCTAGAGTGCAGGTTGTGCTCTATGGCCGCGTGTTCGAGCCTGGGTCATGTCACTAGCTGACTGTGACTAAGGCTACTCAAGCTCAGGGTGGAGATAGTCGGCCAGGTCTCTCTCGGCTCTCAGTGACACAGAGCCCCCTGTGGCCACCTGGGCACTTGCAGGCATGTGAGAATTTTATTGAAGAGCTGGGTGTAAAATGGATAGTGTTTTCTACCTATTGTATTACATTTAACCTATTATCACTGTTAAAAAGGACACCCCTTGCCTTCTGTATTGGAAAAGGTGCTGTTAGTCATGTGATTGGAAAAAAGATTACATTCCAATTATTTCCTTTCCTTCTCCTTACTCCAGGAGCTGTCCCAGAGTGTCCACTTGAGATCAGCCCTCAGAGAGCTGTGGTGAGATATGGGGACCCAGTGACAGCGAACTGCACTGCAACACAGACACCCAGAGGAATGGGCTGGGAGGCAACAGTTGGGTCTACAGGCATGAAAACAGGTGCCCAGTCTGTCACCTGGAGTGTCAGCAGTCTGACTGATTGGACTGCAGAGCCTAAGTGCTACGGAAACTTCCTTACTGAGCCCAAGCAGTGCAGGAAGAATCTCAACATCAGTCTGTACAGTGAGTGACTTTCATTTCACTTCCACGTGTTAGCTGTTTTACTTAGCGGCCATTCTTAAGTCATTCAGTGGAAGCATGTTTATCCAATTCTGTTGAATTTGTTTCTCTCTGGAGTTTGTCTTTCCTGCTACAGTTCTATCTTGATGAACCAGTGAGTGCTGAATGTTTAGTAAACTAAACTCTTTACAGGAGAGTTTGCTCCTGTAGCCCAGTTAAAGCTGTCAGTAACTGAGCAGATACAGCAGGAGAGTCAATAAAACACACACTTCAGGGTGAAAGATAGGTGGGAAATTGAAGTGATATTTCCTCCTCCAGTGTAGATTTAAATTCATATGGGACTTTTACTGAAACACTTTTTGACTCGCTATGCAGTATGAAATTGGACTGAATGGAGAGCAGGCTTGGATATGTCAACTTTGTTTGCACGCTCGCCTGTTCTGAGGTGTAGACGAGTGTCTTCTGATAACCCTTGAAGTGCCCAGTCTTTTCACTGCAGCACTTGTTGGCCTGCAGTGAGCTAAATGTTAATTTTAAGGATTTATTTGATGTGTGAGTATTATGAATGGCCTGTAAAATTGAAAAAGGTTTATAAGT